GTTCTCAGTAGTGACAGATGGCAGAACAAGGAGCAATGGTCTCAAGTTGTGGTGGGAGAGGGCCAGATTGGATATTAGGAAAAACTATTTTACTAGGAGGGTAGTGAAGCATTGGAATGGGTTACCTAGGGAAGTAGTGGAGTCTCCATCCCTAGAGGTGTTTAAGTCTCGGCTTGACAAAGCCCTGGCCGGGGTGATTTAGATGGGATTGGTCCTGCCTAGAGCGGAGGGCTGGACTTGACGACCTTCTGAGGTGAGAGGGCCAGATTGGATATTAGGAAAAACTATTTTACTAGGAGGGTAGTGAAGCATTGGAATGGGTTACCTAGGGAAGTAGTGGAGTCTCCATCCCTAGAGGTGTTTAAGTCTCGGCTTGACAAAGCCCTGGCCGGGGTGATTTAGATGGGATTGGTCCTGCCTAGAGCGGAGGGCTGGACTTGACGACCTTCTGAGGTCTCTTCCAGTTCTATGATTCTATGATAAGGGGATGGTTGGATGAAATAACATGATCTTGGTAACTAATTGACCATTCATTATAGGGAACTTTCTGGGTGTCTGGCTGGTGAGTCTTGCCCACATGCTCAGGGTTTAGCTGATCGCCATATTTGGGGTCAGGAAGGAATTTTCCTCCAGGGTAGATTGGCAGAGGCCCTGGAGGTTTTTCGCCTTCCTCTGTAGCATTGGGCACAGATCACAGCTGAAGGACTCTCTGCATGTTGGGGCCTTCAAAGTATTTGAGGGCTTCAATATCTGAGACATAGGTGAGAGGATTATTCTAAGAGGGGTGGGCGAGATTCTGTGGCCTGCACTGTGCAGGGGGTCAGACTAGATGATCATAATGGTCCCTTCTGACCTTAAAGTCTATGAGTCTATGAGATTGCCTGTATAGACATACTCTATATAGGCTACGTCTACACTACAAGGTTTTTGTGCAAAAATGGTCGGTTTTGCGCAAAAACTTGTGGAGCATCTACACCTCAAATGTACTTTTGCACTAGTAAATCAGAGGGCTTTTGCCAGTGTAGGTAAATCTCCTACAAGGCATAACTCCCTTTTGCGCTACAGCTATTGCGCAAAAAGGCAAATGTGGACACTCTAGAAGAGTTTCTTGCACATGAAACTCCTATGGGAAAAAGCACAGGTGCTCTGATGGCCATTCTGTGAATGTCTATCAGAGTTTTCTTGTGCAAGAGTGTCCATGCAGTGTGCAATGCGCTTTGAGGTGTGGACATGCTCTTGCGCAAGAAGTTTTTGCACAAACACACTTGCTCAGAAGGCTTCTTGCACAAGAAGCCAACAGTGCAGACATAGTCTATGTTTTAAAAGTCCTTAGTGCAAACCATTCTTACCAGAGTCTTTGTTAGAGCCACTGTTTTACTGATGCTTGACCTATTAGGGTAAATGAAAAGATAATTGGCCTCACTCTCCACTCTGTCACTCCAGTTTTACACCAATCTAATAATGCTTTGGGCTGCAGTGTCAACAGCTGCTGAACTTTTGTCACTGAATAAGATTCAGCAAAACGGTGCAAGGACTCATCTAGGTGGCCTTATTAGCTGTACTTAAGGAAAAAATAAAGGTACAGACACAGGTGTTAGATGCTTATCAACTTCACCTACCATCCACTTATTTAAGAGGATAAACTATATGAGAAATGCTCAAAGTGCAGGTAAAGCTGTATGGCTTCCAACTCTAGCTAATGCAGCTGTGAGCTTAAACATTTTTCTGCAACTCCATTCCCACAATTTCATTTCCAGGAAATAGAAGCCAGGAGAGGCCCCTCTCCATGCCCCTGACAGAACCTGAGATTGGGGTCAGTTCTAATGTTCTGCTGACTTAGAAAACTTAACAAAGGGATTGAATTTGGTAACCATCACATCTTCTCTGAATTAGATGGTGATTAATAAATTCCGTAGGCAGGTGTTCTGCGGGTGTAAATTGGCAAAGCCCAATTGATTTCCATGTTTGTACCAGATGAGGATCTGCCCAATGCTTGTTTTAGATATGTTTGGCACAGCACTATGCTGGCATTCAGCCAGAAAAAAAGTTAATGGATCATATTTAGGACTGGTATAACTCTGTTGGCTAAGCAAGAAGTTACATGGATTTGGCTCAGTGTTCCTTTGCTGATGTGGAAATCATGGTAATCTTAATAGTATGTTTTCTGTTTGTTCTTTTGTCAATATCTGGATGTGACATGTGGAGGAGTTTCTGAAATCTTTCTTTTCAATGATGTTGTTTTCTACTTTTTGAACTGCCAGGGTGCCATGAGAAATCTGTTCACTGAAAAGACAGAAAAGCCAAGATGTACAGCAAAAATGGTATGTGGTCTCTTGCAATAAATTACAGGTTTACTTTTCATGTATTGCACTAGAGGCGGCACTGATGCAATTAGCTACAGCTGCTAACAGAAAGAAAACATGCATCTGTGGATGGATCAGACTAGAGGGAACCAACTTGTATTCTTCTGGAATTTATCACTGTAAAAAGGAGTGGGAAGAACTGCAATTTTCATTCTTTGGTACAACAAACTTTAATTACCTTTATCGTCTTTTGAAACACTAAAGCTGCATGCAAAACCTGCGTACCCGAATAAACACTTTTACTTTATTACAGAGCAATTAGCAAATACAATCAGTTTTATAGCAGCTCATGTGAGGGAAGAATTTGGTAGGGTCATTTTCTGGAGTAAAGATTTTGAAAGGATTCCTTACTGGAATAATGAGTAATACGCCCAATTATTACCTTTAGTCTTAAAGTGTCCCATGTGAGTTTCTATTGCAAGAAAGGTGCTGGTCTAATTTTCCTACAAGCTTTTGTTCCCAGCTGTTCAGTACCTGTTTATTCCCAGCAATCAGATAGGGGTGTTCCCAATAACACAGCAGTAGGAGGGGCTAGGTCTTTGGAAGCTGTGTATGGTGCAAGCACAGCTTAAACCTGAATTCCCAAGTCCTGGTTCATAGCAAAGAAGCACATTTCCTTCTGCATGTCCTTTTCAGCAGCTTATCTTCTGCTTGCTCTTTTTCGCCTGGCCTTTCATTCTTCCTTTTCACACAAGTTCTTCATCAATTTCTTTTATTAAGTTTGTGATTTAAAAAAAAAAACTTGCTCCCTCAGAACACAATTTTTTTTTCCAGGAGCCCCAAAACTGGACTTTATTATTGTTCAATTACCTTTTGATTTTTACTAATTTTTAAAAATCCCAACTTGATGAGTCTCCTTTTTGTTCATCCTTCACATTCCTGTTCTTTGATTACACAGGAATATGTGACCTGGGTAATTTTCAGTAATGATATTTCCTCTATCCATTTCTTTACTCTGAACATTTTCCTTGGTCTTCTCTGTGTTGTGCTCTCTTAAGTGCTAGCCACAACAGAGAGAAATCAGAGACACAAAGTGGGTGAGGTAATGCCTTTTTTGTTCTTTGGTTTGTTGATTGGGGTTTTTTTGGACTAACTTCTGCTGGTGGAAGAGTCAAGCTGTTGAGCATCAAAAAGCTCTTCATCAGGAAGGTAAGCATACAAAATGAGGTAGATTAAGCATTTTTAAGAGAGAAGTCAAACACATGTCAGGCTTCTGACTTCTGCTACTGCTTGCAAGAGATTGCAAACAGCAGTATTAAAATTATTCCCATATACTGGATACTTTTCCCAGGCCCTAAGTAATTCTGCACATGTGACACATCTATATTTCTTCCCTCAAAGGAGTAGTACAACCCATATTTCTCCATGGAGTTTGCTAGCTATAAGGGCTGTGCACCATTCCGTACAGACCAGAATCATCTCTGCAGAAGTGGAAGGGATGATCTGTATTAGTGGATCTAAGGCATGGATGAAAATGGGGGTGTTATCTCCATGGTAGATAATTCCTTTCCTTCAGCTCTTTGGAAGACCCTTACATGGGTGTTTTGAAGGGCCAGGGCTTCAAAAGCAGGGACAAAGACTAGTTGCTCTCTGGGACATCAAGCCACTGTCTTCATATATTTTTATCATCTTGGACTGAGATATTGTCAGAACAGCTATTTCTAGGCATTTGGGGACCCATCCAATTTAAACTGGAAAACAGTCACTTTCTAGACTGGGGTTCTGAACTGGATTCACAATCGTAAACGGAGGCTGGATTTTGTGGAGTTGGATTCAAAAGGGATCAGATTGACGGTTCCAGTCTTTGGCTCATCTCTAATTACCAAAAAGAAGCAAGCAAAGTTCACAAAAACATTAGCAGTAACATAGCCTGATCTCTTGACTGACTTTTATTTTTAAAGCTGTATTTAAAAGTAAAATGCTGCCACTTTGACTTTCTCACTTGTTGCACAGCCTGCTTTAATGTTCCATCAAAACAAAGAAAACAACTGTTCACACATTAGGCATACATTAGCTTTGGTGGGAAAGAAAAACAAATCAATATTACATGTTTTAGAGAAGGAAAGGAGCCAGGGTGTGTGCCTAGACAACAAATTTCTGTAATCTCCAAACCTATAATTTATTTCAGAAATGTTTTATTACCTCGAAGAGGAGAGAGGTCTTCCCAGCTTGCAGGATAATGAATGATCCAGGTGTGAATGAAAATACATGAAAGGAAAGGAAAGATCTAAAGAAGAAAAGTTTCAAAATTGTTAAGTTAAACAATGTCTCTTCAGACCTCTCCAATCCAGATCCCTCAGCTTGCAACTCTGGAAAGGAGACGAGCTGTTTTGCTGCTGGTACAGCGACCTACTTACATGCCCACAGAGTGCCAAAGGGATGTAGTTTAAGCATTTCAAGGGCACTTTGCACATCTATGGTTGTAAACCAGCTTCAAGAAGCCTTAAACCATGGGAAATAGGTTAAAGAAAAGACTTGGGGGGGTATGTCTAGACTGTGGTGCTCTTTTGGGATACTGGAAGTACCCCAAAATAGCAACACCGCATCTTTAAAAGTACATGCTATTTCCTGAAATAGCGGGCTACAGGGATGCTGGAATAGTGTACCCTTGTTCCACAAGGGTTAAGGGATTTTTTTTTGGAATAGTCCCTTATTCTGAAATTTGGCACTGTGTAAACAGCATCAAATTTCAAAATAAGCTCTTTCAATTTAGGCTCATAATAAGCTACACAATTTGCGTAGCACAAATTGTGCAGCTTATTCTGACAGAAGGGTGCTGTCTAGATGAGGCAGCTGCCATTTTCTGTCTAGCTAACTGCAGAAGTTTTCTGTAGCATTCTCAATAAAAATGCTTTGGAAAATGGGAAGAACAACCTGTGCTCATATTTTTCATTCGTGATGCTGAATATAGAAGATGTCCAGAACACATTTTAGCTAAAGAACAGTGACTACTTATGCCGCTCATGAACAGAATATTTCATGTCAACTGCTCCCACAAGGAAAACTGGCAAGGCTTGTTTTATTCAGTGTTTGCTTAGGAAACCATGTTTAGAAACGCCACCAATAGTGAAAGACAGGGGAGTGGATGCAAATGGATCCTTTGAATAAAGTGAGAATAAAGTAAATCTTTCCATATTCCACTCACACTTGTGTTACCTATACAAAATCTGAGGAGGATAAAAAGCAGAATCTTCTATGAAGACTACCATGAAAATTTGATGACCTGTTTAGTGCTTAATTACTGCGGGGCTACTTTAATAGGTGCTTTTAAAAAAACAGAGTGATACCAGCACTAGCTCAGGGAATTGTACCCAGGAACAGCTTTTATTGGACATGTTTGTGTTGGATGGGAGACGAACTACTGGTAATGCCCAAATAGTTGGCCTTGCTGATAGTAAAAGTGGTGCGTCAAAGAGGCTAGACAGTGCATTGCTCAAAGCTTGTTTTTAAGGCTTCTGATGATGGAGATCCTGTGGAAGTTAAAATTCTAGTGGTGGTCACAAGATTTAACTGGGGCCTGTATTCCACACACCCCTGCGCCAGCTTTTCTAGTCCATACAGAATGGAGTTTGCCCACTGATGCATGTTGAAGGCCAAATACAAATTAATGGTTGTAACTAAAGACTAATATAGTCTGATCAAAAGAAGCAGAAACCTGGAGGAGCCAGGGTTCTCCTAGTGAAGAGTGAGGTGCATTGGCAGAGCAGTGTGTAGTGATATCTCATTGCCTTGTTGGTTAAGCCTGCTTCAAGACAATACAAAATGACCCCTTCCTTCCTTGAACACAGAACTCACTCACAAATTTTTATCTTAAATGAAAAACAAAAGAAAGATACAACAGAGATTTAGGATTTGGGCCCTTACTTATGTGGGCCATCCCTTTGCAGCAAATGGGTCTGCTCAGTAAGATGTTCACAGCTCGGCCCTGGTGAGTCGATTGTTTCAATCAAGGATTTAAATAATTGCTATTTGAAAATATGTGAGAGAAGCATAACTTCATTGTGGATCGCATGTCACTAACATGGAACAGAAAACATAGGATTATCCAATGGTTAGAACACTCGCCTGGAATGCTGGAAACGAGTTTTCAATTCCCTGCTCTGTCCTAGAGTTCCTGTGTGACCTTTGGTATGTCACTTACAGTCAGATTTTCAAAGGTATTTAGGCACCTAGTGATGCAGACAGTGTCCGGTGGGGTTTTCAAAAGCATCTAATCAATGGAAGTTAAGCCTCTAAGCACTTCTGAAAATCTGACTCATGCCAGTCTGAAACTCTAGGTGCCTAAATACCTTTAAAAATTGGGACTGAGTCCCTCTGTGGTTCAGTTACCGGTGTATAAAATGAGGGTAGTAATATTTACCTGTGAGATGCTGTGGCAATGGGAGCCGTATGAGTACTTAAGGCCTGGTCTATACTACATGGTTAGGCTGACACAAGGCAGCTGATGCTGACGTAGCTGTGGGGGGAAAAAAAGAGTAGTCCTGTAGCACCTTAGGCCTGGTCTATACTAGGACCCTAGTCCAAAATTAGCCCCCAAGGTCAAATTTGTAAGCCATGCATCCAGACTACCAAGCCCATTATTCCAGAATAAGGAGCTGTAGAATTCGAACTCTGTAGCCATGCTTTTCATGAGGAATAATGCTATTTCCAAACTAGTAAATCCGAATTAGCAGCACCAAAGCTTCCACACTAATGTTATTTTGGATTTATTGGCTTCCAGGATGTCTCCTGCAGCTCCCCAGAGTACTTCCTAGGGCTCTGAATCCAAGGTAGGGCGTCCACATTAACGGACTACATTTGATTTTTCCCTGTAGTAAGAACACAGAGCTTCGAATTTGTAAAATCAGGTGCCCAGAAGTCGAACTTAGTAAATTCAGACTAATTTCCTAGTGTTGACAAGGCTTTGGAGACTAATAAATATAGTAGCATGATCTTTCATGGGCAAAACCCACTTCTTCAGATGAGTTATGACTTTCACTCATCTGAGGAAGTGAGTTTTCCCCTGAAAGCTCATGATACTATTTTTTTGTTAGTCTCTGAGGTGCTACAGAACTACTTATTTTGTTGTCATAGTCTGTAACTTTAAAAAAAAAAAAAAAAAGAAAAACACAGCTACCCCTCTGGGATTTTTAAACAGATAGCTGGAAATATCTTCACTTAAAATTGGCTCCTTCTGACAAAAGTGCCCATTATGCCAACTTAATACCACCTTTCCAAGTTGCATAGAGTCAGGCTCAATGTAATTAGGTTAAGTCAGTGATAGTTGAGACATTGCTTACTTTACTTGTGCTTAGGTTTACTGACGTTCACCTTTCCCATAATGACTCCCCTCAACCACTCTGGTTGCTGTTGTGAACTCTACTGTCCAATGTGTTAGGGAGACAGGAAATTGCCCTTCCTTTTAAAGCTCCATTACATTTTTTTAAATTTGTTATCCTGGTTTCCTGGCGTGGTGAGTACACATAGAAGCACTGCAGTCTAGCTAGAGTGTGACTATGCTAAGTGACCATGACAGCTACCTGCTGGTAATGGATCTCCTGAGAAGAAGAGGTTGTGCTGCTAATTCGAATTTATTGGCTTCCGGGTGGACTCCTGCAGCCAATTGAAATGTCAACATCAAGGAGTAAATTGCTCAGGGTGTGTTGGAGAAGGGTGCTGTGCACAAAACAAGCAATTACAGCAAACATAACAGGAAGCCAAGAATTGATCTGGTGCAGAGCCGCAGACCTGCCATTTCTACAAAGAGCCGCATGCCATCCTCAGCATAGACCTCCCCCTCCCCCAAAGAATTCCTGGACATGTCCAAAAATCCCAAGTCACAGAACCTTACTGTGAACAGCAAGGAGGAGGAAATGGGTAAGGAAGAGGAGGAGGGGGACAGGTGATCAATAGATCCTGTTGCACAGTGAGCAGGGCCTGTTTTAGGACACATCTTTTGATTTGCTCATTTTTGATTGTGCTAGAAGTGGTAGTGGAACAACTGAAAAATGCAGAGTTTCTGTTGGCTTTCTTGCCCCTCTAGAGTTAGTCATCTTTGCAAATGTACATTGTGTTTTTGTTACCCAAAAATGAGTTACCAGCTAATTTTGCTGGTTAGTGTTGTACTGCTCTTAGGAATTTAAAGCTAAAGCTTTTAATCTTTGTCTGGCTTTTATAGGCTTAGAAAGGGAAAAGCATGCATGGAACGAACTGGCTGTAGAAGTCCAGTGTAAGCACTTAACAAAAGTTCCTTTGGGTCATTCTAGTGTTTCCCGAAGTGTGGGATGTGAAGGACTAGCCAGGGAGCTTCAAGATGTATAAAATAAAAGGTATAGGCACATGAGGGAGGTGGGACTGGCTTCATTTTCCTGAGAGGAGCACTATAGGGACATGCTAGGGGCCCTAGCTCTTTGTCACGTGATTGCACCAGAATCGTAGCTATTGGTTTCTTTTTAGAAGATATTTGTAACCCTCGCTCTTTGGAAATGTGAATGGACCTGGAACCAATGCTTGCCTGAGTCTGCAGAAAGCCTAAAATAATAGTTCTAGAAATGTGAACTCCAGACATGTCAGTAATGTATTAATTCTTAAACCCAACCTGTCAATACCCTCCCAACAAGGAACTCTGTGCACGGGAGAAGAACAATTAGGGTATGTCTACACTACAGCGTTATTTCAAAATATCTTATTTTGAAATAGCTTATTTTGAAATAACGCCTCTACACACACACAATGCATTTCGAAATAGCGTTTTGCTATTTCAAAAGTGCGCGTCCACATTGAGTGGACACTGAATCGCATTTAAGTCTGGCTGGAACCAGGTCCGGCAGGGCATCAGGTCAGGAGTTACTTTGTGTGGCTGCTGCCTGAGGCTATCTGAGGCCTGTGCTTAAAGGGACCCTCCGGGACAGCCAGTTCTCAGCTTTCCCTGCTTGCTTGCCTACCTTGAAGAGGGACAGCAAAGCATTTTGTCTCTGCATGCTCTGGTTGCCCTCACTTGGGACATCACAGCACTCTGCAACATGGAGCCGGAGCTGCCCCATGGCACTCTGGTGCTTCTCATGGACGCGTTGCTGTGAACTTGGCTGCACTTTCTGTAGGCTGCCATCCAGGAGGTACATCAGGGGCTGTCAGTATCCAGGAGGCCTTGTGGGAGAGCTTCCACCCTGAGGAGCATGAAGAGCTTCCCTGGTCTGCCCCACTGGGTGCTTGTGCCTCATTCCTCCCTCACATCCTTCCACTTACTCCTCCCTAACCCCCCTTCCTGATGTCAAATAAAATGCATGTATTTTCATGTACACAAACTCTCTTTATTTAACAAAACTGGAGGGAGGGGGGATGAAATTCTGGTGAGACTGGGGAAAGGAGGCAGGAGAGGGCAGGAGAGATGGAGGCAGAAACCTGGGAGGAGGGAGCTGGAAGGGGGAAGCAAGGGGAAGAAGGGGGAGGGGAAGCTCAGGGTTGGGGGTCTCACTGGACCAACTTGATTTTCATGCAAACTTGCTCCTGGGTTCACATGTGGCCTTTGGTGGCCAGGCTGGCAGCTATCCTGCCATAGACAGCCACATTCCTCCATCTAGTGTGGAGATCATGGACGTTGGGGGCTTCCCCCCTAAACCTGAATAAGGTCCATGATCTCCGCCCTCTAGTAGACTGCTCCTGGGGAGTGATGGAGGGCTGGCTGTCCGTGGCTTGCTGGCTCATGTTTTGGGGCCACTGGGTCAGGGGCAGTGACTGCTGGTTCTGGGCTGACAGGCTTGGAGCTGGCACAGGCACTGTGGCCAGAGTCAACCCCTTTAAGGGCTCTGGGAAGTGGGGCGGGAGAGGAGTGTTCTTAGTTGAGGCTGGAGTGGCCACCAGGGCACCCTGGGAAGGTTGGAGGCCCCCTATTTTGATATGTCTACACAGTACTTATTTCAAAATAGCTATTTTGAATTTGGCATTATTCCTCACTGAATGAGGTTTACCAAATTCAAAATAAGTACTTCACTATTTTGAATTAATTTCAAAATAGCGGTTTGACTGTGTAGACGCTAGGAAAGTTATTTTGAAATAATGGCTGTTATTTCAAAATAACTTTGCTGTATAGACATACCTTTAGTGGGCCTGTCTGACCTAAATAATTGGATACATCCCTGATGCTGAGGTAAGCAATGGAGGATCCTCCAGTTGCCAGTCTTTCTTTTTTGAGAAGCAGAGATGTCTCTTCTCCTGCTTCTTGATAAGAGAAATATGCCTCCATCACTGCCTCTGCTTCACTAGAATTTGGCACTCTAAGTGGGCAGAGGCATGTAGGATGTTCTGAGGGCTGTGGATTCCATTATCTGTGCCACATGGGAAGAGCCTGGTGGGATTTCTAATCATAACTATAGGCTGGGCCTAGCCATGCCACAGGTCCTGATCCTCCAATTTATCTGTCCACCTAGAACAAGTAAGATGGGGGTCCTACGTATTCAAACACTAATGAGAAGATCGCCACCCGACTGCTGTGACAGTGCATCTCTTCAGGGAACCATTTGTAAAGAGGGTATGTTGAGAACCATTGACCCAAACTATACACCTGTATATGATGGAAACCACTTCAAGCCAGGGGGAAGGTGATAGAACATCTGCCTCTGTTTGCACCTTATGGTTACGTCTACACTGGCCCCTTCTTCGGAAGGGGCATGCTAATTTTGAACTTGGGAATAGGGAAATCCGTGGGGGATTTAAATATCCCCAGCGGGATTTAAATAAACATGTCCGCTGCTTTTTTTCCGGCTTGGGGAAAAGCCGGAAAAAAGCTTCTAGACTGGCGTGATCCTCCGGAATAAAGCCCTTTTCCGGAGGATCTAAAAGGGCTTTATTCCGGAGGATCGCGCCAGTCTAGACGCTTTTTTCTGGCTTTTCCCCAAGCTGGAAAAAAAGCGGTGGCCATGTTTATTTAAATCCCGCGGGGGATATTTAAATCCCCGAGGATTTCCCTATTCCCAAGTACAAAATTAGCATGCCCCTTCCGAAGAAGGGGCCAGTGTAGACGTAGCCTAACTGTTTCACAACAAAGTGCATTAAAATAAACATCTAAGCTAAGCAGAAAGTTGACATAGTATGTCTCCTGCCAGGAGTATGCTCCACAAAAGAGACATACTTTGACTATCTTTCTAATGCTATGAAAATAAATAGCCATTAGAAGCTTCATATGGACTGCCACTCTGTTCTCAAACAGGTTTAAAGTAAGAAATGACATTTGACAAGTTGTTAGCTCTTCTTTCCTGCTATTTCTCCTCACTCCACATTTCACTGCTATAACAGTGGGAAGGAAGAGTTGGAAACTGATGTTATTTCCTCCTCACCCCCACTCTTTTTGACTTTATGATCTCTTTGGAGCAGGGACTGTCATCACATTTATGGACAGCACTTTCCATATTTTGAGCATTACCAGAATGGAACAGCAATGCTAATACATAGTCCTGTCTGTCTCAGTGCATGTAAGCCCCGCATTATGAGAAGTCAGAAAACAAGGAATTTACACAGGGATTTAGCACACTAGAGCAGTGGTCCCCAAATGTTTTATCTTGCACTTCTGTCCCATCCACCATCACCTTGACACATCCATCGGGCACTCTTGGGAGTCAGGGCTGCAGTTGGAGCCTGATGCTGGGACCAGAGTAATTTCTGGGCCAGAGGCTGAGGCCAGGGATGCAGCTGGGAGTGAGACTGCAGCCAGGAATGGGGACAGGGCCAGCAACCAGTGCAAAGCCATGGATGGGGCCAAGGCTGGGGGCAGGACAGGGGTTGGTAGTGGAGCTGCATACAAACTGGTTGGGGCCCAGGGCTGGGGTGAGGCCCAGCACCACAACTAAACTTGACCAAAAACAATTTTAAACAAATCTGATACTCTACTAAATAAAAGCTATGCAATAGTACATCACAGAAAACTAGTTGAATAAATAACATTTCTTTCTTTCTTTCTTTTTCTTTTTCCTGTTTTTGTTAAATCTTCCTCACTTCTGATTTTGTTTTGTAGGTAGTTGGAGATCTGGTTTACTTTAAAACAATGAAGTGGGCAGAATCCCCTGAGGTAAATTTATTGAGTACTGGGAGGTCCTGATGACACAACTGAACTGGCACCAAATCAATAAAAACAGAACTGAAGAAAAAAATAATTAAAACATTCTGTCAAAAAAGAGAGAGAGCAGTAATTAAAAGATGAAACCTATTGTTTTGCTGCACTAATTGCATTTTAATTTTCAATAGCCTGCTGCAGAGTATGAAAGCCCATGCCTATAAAATGTCCCAGTAACAGTGCTCTTTCTGCAGCTAGCGTGATAGCTGTGTTTATGTGCTGTAGCAGAGCGGTATGTGCTTTCAACTCTGTGGGTGAAACTAGCTTTCTTGTAAGATAGCATGAGAAAAATATTTCATTATTTTCTTGTCTGGTGTGGAAAATTGTTTCTCAACACACACAAACATATACAAACACACAGACACATGCAAAATGGGCTTGATTCTAAAGCTTTCATTTTTCGAGTACCTCCACAACTTTAGTGGGAGTTTTGCACATGGAAAAACAATAGTGTTTGGCCCAGGATATATATATACGTACATATAGTATTTATGTTCAAAATGTAATGTTTTTGTAATGTTAGTGGAAGAGAGTGTAGTGCAGCATTTAAAATACACCATTAGAAATACTTATTGGGCGTGATTCTGAAGTCTTTTCTTGTAAGAAATTCCTCACTGATTTCAGTGGGCATTACCCAGGCATGGTGGCCGTGAGATAAAACCCCAGATATAGCTTATCAGAAGCATGGAGCACATATTGACCAATTTTGGAGACAATTTACAACATGAATTTAAATAATCACACATAATAAAATGGGCATGTAGAGGAGTTTCCAGTCGGAGTATCAGAGATGATGCACACATAATCCTGGGATTTACAATGGACTGATACTTACAAATTATATTTCAGATTACATTTCAAAACTAGCTAACATTTATACTGCTGAATAGTCAAATTAAAAAGGAGTGAATGGTGAAAAATATCTAAGCTTAGCATATTTTAGAGAATTAGCTGACAAACTTAACAAATGTCCTTCAAACAATAGCAAGAAAAATATAAATTAGGAAAACAGTATCTTCTTAAAAATAAAACATTGGGCAAATTCTATGATAGTTTCATCCAGCTGAATCTCTCTCCACTAAATTCTTCCTTCAGCTATATCTCTTCACTCCTGTTGAGTACAGAAGAGATCTCCAGCGGCACCTATGAACATAATTCTACTACTATTCACAAAATCAGAAACAATGGAGTTAGTTTGAACTAAATGTATCTGTAATAGTTGCCAATATAAGGACATTTCAATTTAATTAGATCACTTTTGTATATAGATACCGATAAATAGACCAGGAGTATGCATTTTTGTGCTATCTCAATACCCTGAGTGCCAAACAGGAGAAGGAAACAAACCAAAAAAACTCTCCAGAGGGTTTGAAAGGCTATCATGCTAGCCATTGTAAATTATACGATTAGCAAGCAATGTACAGTTATAACTGTGTGGTTACACTCATCAATGTTGCAGAACAAAATAAGGCAAAATTCACAATGAAATGCTTTAGGAAGAGCTATTGTTTAATGAACCTTTCTCATATCTTCTAAGTTGGAAGTCTTCTGGCCTGATGTAAGAAAATCTCTGCAGAAATTATTTCATGGAGATATAGTATTCCCCAAATCCCTATTATTATGGTGCTAAAGAAATGTCCTGATTTACTGAAATTAAACAAACACAGATACACTCTTAGAATTCCTGTAAGTGCTGCAACCAGTAAATGGCTTTCATTAGTATGGTTGCAAAAACAAATACCTACCATAGGAATGTGGTGCACAAGGATAAAACATTTAATGGAAATTGACTTATTTCATCAATATTAGACAAAAGTCAGAAATATTTGCAGGAAAATAGAGCAGGTAGAAAGAACAAAATGAAAAAAAATCATTGCTTGATCTTCTGTAATAGTGGGGAGAGCAATTCCCCCTGCGTCGGGGACCTCACTACTGAGCTCAGAGCCAGGCTTGCCAGCTGTACACTTCTGTAGTAGGAGCCCCTGATGCAAGTGGCAGCTGCCAGCCACCAGAAAGAGAAGGCATGATTGCAGCATGCCTCCAGCCTGCCCATTCTGCAATAGTCTGTAGGCCTGTAGCAGCAGAGACACCAATTAAGGATATTCACAAAGATCCTCTAACCTGTGTTCGAGACCAACCAGTTCCAAGCATTGCCTACCTTATTGAGCTGTGTTCTGGTTCTGTACTGTAGCCTATTGCCTTTCTGATGACAGCTCTGTTGTATTCTGTTCGGGCCAATCCTATTCTCTAGCTACAGCCTGAGGAAAGAGGGTCGATGCAAGGGAATTTCACTGGAGATGAGGTGATGGAATCGCGCTCTCTGGCCATGGAAAGGCAGGGCTTTTCCATTGCCATCACTGCAGCCTGAAGAAGAGCCTGTAACTGCTAGATATCCTTTCCAGGATCCATCTGCTTGTCCCCTCTATTTTGCCATGGAAGGAGACCCAGGAAGCAGCCCAGTGCAGCACAAAGGAGACATGCAGTCCCTCTGCAGATTCCAAGCAGCTCAACACCTACTTCTCACCTTGTCCAGAGCAGCATTGCCATTGTTGGAAATGGTAGCAAGCACTGATATGAGTGTAACTCAGGTGTTTTCACCTGCATGGGACCAAACCTGCCCTGAAGAAGACTAGATGGTTAAAAAGGTCCAAGTCCTAATGGGCCCATCAGTGTTAGCACTGGTGGAGCTGTATTAGTACTAGTGCTAGTGCAGGGGTGGAAGATTTCTCAAACCACCCAGGAGAGACATGGCTAGCGTGGCACTGCTGCTTATTGAGCCTTGCGTGCCTGTGGAAAAGAAGGCAGGATTTGTTGTTTGGTTTGTTGACTACAATAAGAAATTAATTCATGCTGTCAGCACTGCTTGTTTGCCTTTTATTCAGGATACAGGACTGGCTACTCCTTCCACTCATATGGGAATAGGGGAGTGAGAGCAAGTGCAAATGGGGGTCATGTCCCAAGCTTGGTGGGGGGAGGGAGCAGCAATTCTGCCTCAATACTCTTGCTGCCTCCAACCTATGGAAATGACTGCAGGAATACTGGGAGGTTGAGGTTTTATGGTTTGGCAGAGCACCACATGTACCCCACAGCAACGGAAAATTGCTTCACAGTTTAATTCTGGCCCCAACCAAGTAAACTTCGATTCATCCACATTCAGTCGCTATGTTAGATGTTATTCTGTGCATAGGAGTGTGGGGAGCGGGGGGAAGGAGAGCTAATGACAGCCTCACTGCTTGAGTTTGCCATCAGATTGCATGGAGAGTCCTCAGCTCCATAGTTGTAGACAAAGATCCATATGTTTAGGGATTATGAGTTCTCCAGATCCTGAGCCTGAACATCTCTGCCCTGTTCCATATAATGAAGAGAGAGAACCACAAACAACTACTTATGGTATTTTCAGAGTATGTTTCTTTCTCCTGTGGTTATTCCTGATGATTAAGGCATAGTAACTACATGAGTGCAATCTCGCCGTTAATAAATCCTAGAAACACACACACAAAATAGTAACGGAGTTCCTTTAGTATCACTGGGCTGAATCAGCTTGTTAAAGATAAAAAGCCCAGCGTGCTGAACAATGTGCTGTACTATTTAACAATATAGCAAACCCATCTTAGCTGGTGGAGAGTCTGAAGGACTTAATACAGCCTTTCTGGCTCTAATAGCTGTAATTTTCTCTATAATATGAAATGGTTAGCTAGGCTAAGTCCAAAAGAATGAATATTTTATAACAAGATTTTTCCTTTTCTTGTATGTATTAGTACATACTGATTTTTTAATAAACAAATGAAAGTGAGTTAAATACTCTAATTTACTCTATTCTAAAAATACATTACCTTTTAATAGATTTTGGCTGTTACCATATACTAATCTGAAAAATCTAAATAAAATATTTCAAAGATACTCTAACAGTGAATGAGTGGTCTGATGCTGATGTGGTGTGGTGACAAAAATTTTACACTTTACTATAATGCACATCAGTTTACAAGAGAGCAGTACCAAAGTCCGTGAGTTGAGGTGAATATGAAATTAACCTAACAGAGTTTCCCTTTTCTTCTGATATATTAGCTGATGAAGCAGAGAGGAGGCATAAAGAGCTGTAATTGCAGTTGCATTTTTCCTATACTTACCCATTCAGTTAGCAGCCTTTCTTGGATTATGTTGTGAGAAGAAAACAGAATTCAAAGTCCAATGTTCCTCAATATCTAGATCATACTTCTTCTCAGTAGGCCTCATTTGGACTCCTTTATTTTGTTCTGGACACCACACTTTAAAAAATATGCATAGACCAATTTAAAAGGATTCTCAGAAGAATAAAAAGGATAAAGCCAGTAAAAAGATGGTCCTAAGAAATAAGCATGTTAAATCTGGAAAGAAGACTGAGGGGAGGCATGACAACTGTCTGAAATTACATAAAAGAATACTAGGGCATAACTGGAAATAATGGACTTCAACAATAGCAGGGAGTTTTTAGGTTAAATACATAGGAGAAAAAATTCTGTGGGTCAAATTCATCCCTGGTGAACTTCAGTAGTCTTAAACCAGGGATGAATTAGTTTAATAACTCTCAGAAGAGTTAGAAATTGGAAGTTGCTAAGATTCAATGTTTCTTTAGAACATTTAGGCATCTCACTACAAGCAAGGAGTAAAATACTATCTGAATATGATCACCCTTTACAACAACAACACCACAAATATATATCATGTTTTATTTGTGAATCTCAAAGTGCTTAGCAAAGGTGGTGAAATATTATCTCCATGTGTCAGATGGTGTAACAGACGCTTAACAAATTTAAGAGAGTTGTTACGGTCTTGCAGTAAATCAGTGGCAGAACCAACAGAAGAACCCAGATCTCCTGATCTTATAACCAGATTCCCACACAATGATTCCCACAGTTTCAACAATAGCTAGCATTGGGACTAATTTAACAACAAAAGAAAATACACTCTGCACTGGGGGATCCTCCTGTGGCTAGTCGCTTCCTTTGGTATTCATTGTAATTAGTAACATTAGTGACACTCTATTATTTCATCTCTGGCATCTGTGAGGTTGTGCTAGTAGCTTATTAACAATCCCTAG